ACAAGAGAACCTACTCGGACAGCTGCAAGGAACAAGATGGTCTGGCACCGTGTGATGGTTAATCTGAATGATTTCCACGAGGACCTTGGTAAGCGGTTGAGGCTTGGCCCGCACGGCGCAGAAGATGAAGCCTGAGGGCCTTCATTCAGTTGTATTGGAGTACAGGTCTTCAGGACTTGCGGGGTTCCAAGAGGTCGGGCCGCGGTGATATGTTTGATCTGGTCTGTGGTCACACTCTCGCGTGAAAGAACTTCCAAACTTTGCAGGATGAAGCCGTGTCTCTGTGATCTTCGTCAAGCTGTTGGGGGGCCCTGCTGTCGAGATTGATCTCCTGTGCCAAGGAAAGTCGTGAATGATACCCTGGGCCGTTTTTCATGCAGCGGCTTGCCCGCTCTGGGATTGAGTGACCTTGCCGGCAAACAGTCAGCACAGGGGTTGGACCATGTTGGACCATGAGCAAAGCAATAGTACAAGCCAAAGCCTCTTCCCAGGCGACCCTGTGCTCGCCAGCACCTTGTGCAGGAATCTGACCCTTGGCAAGTACAGGCTTTCGCTCAATCTGGCTTTCTGGGCCTCACAGTCTTGCAAGCGTGGGACAGCATGACGAGCAGCACCTCTGAGATGATCTCGGTTGTTCTGCCGTGTCAAGGATGGACCCCTTTCGAGAAGATCCTGCGTCCAAGAAGATCAAAGAGACCTGCGAGGACCTTGTGCCTGCATGCCCCAACCACTCCAACGCCCAAAGCGCCCCCACATCAAAAGTGCCGAATTGCAACGCTGCTCCAGGATCTTCTAGCCTTGCAAAGGCTGCAGTCAGAAGGAGGCCTGTATGCATCGCCGGGTCAACAGCTTCAGATGCAATAACGTGATGCAAGCCCAGCAGCCTGACTAATCTCAACATCTGATGTCAGAGACCTCTTCCAGGAGAAGACAAGAGCAAGGATGCCGTCTTCCAGGTGGGGTGTACCGTTACGGCTGAGTGCCACAACGGACCTAGCAACCCGCGATGTGGATATCGACCTGCTCGGACATGGTTCCCCCTCAGCCAATTGAGTTGTATGATTGTATGTCTTAAAAATGCTTTCAGGTAGCTGCCCGTATTTTCTCATGAGGGAAGGGACGGACTGAGATATCAACGGTCTCAGAACTTGACACAGCAGAGGTGCCGCTTCCAACGGTCCTCTCTTCCTTCGTGACCACGGCTCCTAGGCGGATACATCCCCAAACGGTAACAAAACAGAGCAGGTGAGTGAGAATGGCCAGTCTCCCATGCTGAAGCAGTAGCATGCAAGAAGACTGCAAGACGACAGTCTGTTCAATTTAACCGCTAACGCGAGCAAGCCTGGGCAAGGGTGGAGGAGAGCTGCGGGTGGTTTCAAACCTCCACGGATGGAGAAAAGAAAACAACAAACACATCCGGTTTTGGTGCCTCCTGTGGAGGAGGCGCGTGGCCCTCACCCCAGCCCGGACCGGGTTACAAGGCCCCGATTGGGGGGGCCCATGGCCAGGCACCAGTCTCAAACCACTCCATGCCAGGAAGACAAAAAAAGGTGGATCCAACCCCCTCCCCCAAATCGCGCCTCGGCGGACTCCCAGCTCTGCTCCCAAATGAGCCTTTTATAGTAAACATTGATAAGTATATGTTAACTGAGATTAGGAACAGACTCGACAGCCCATCTCAGGCTAAGGAGACCTACAAGCGCTTCTGGCCACCGGAGGCGCGGGCAGCGCCAACACTGCGCAAGGTACTCCCAAAATTGATCGCGCTCTTTGTTGCAAGTTCCTGCACTCCACCCTTAACAAGCCTACATGCTCTCAGGTGTTAAGTCGAGTGTTTCGAGTGCTGAAAAAAGTGATGAGAGCTTCTGACACCTCCTCAAACCTAAAGCATGCCAAAGCACCCTGGAAGGGCCCAGACGTGCTGCCGGTCAAAAGCCCGGAGCCAGCAGAGGGCGTGCAGAGTGCTTCCATTGTGCACAGGCCGGAAGCTGAGGGTTGCTTCTGAAAAGACATGTATGTGGTGTAGCCAGACAGTGACCGAGTAGAAGCACCCTAGTGTAGAAATTTCATGTCTGCATTGCCTCTCAAGTCGCCGCAAGCCAAGGTCTCGGGCCAAGACTGGCCACCAGGATGAGGATCCCTGCTATCCTCAAACGTAGGAGTGTGCAAGTTGAAAGGGCTAAAGGGCAAAAACCTTGATGCGCTTTTGGAGGATGTTGAATAACACTTGCACAGACTACCTGCCAACTAAAGCAACCAGACAGTGTCTAGAAAAAGAGGTTCTTGCCTTCAGGCCATAGCCTAGACTTTTTGGGGATGGTAGAAGAGGCAGGCCGGCCTGGGCGACATATTAACTGTCTTGTGGTGTAGAGTATTTCTGCCTCCTCCTCCTAACTCATATGATCGACCGCAGGATCGATCACCTCCCTTGCGGCGATCCCGCTCGGTGGAGGCGTGGGATGCCGGGATGTAAAGGGCCTGCGCATGAGCTTGGGCTCAGGTTGTGGGGTTTGAGAATCTGAGGGATTTGAGTTTCTGTCGTGAGCCTTTTTTCAAAAAAGGTTCGTTGTATCAAGCTCGCAGAAATCAATATTGAAATAAGACATGGTGCAGCTTGGTGGCTTTGGCGCACGAAAGTTGTCGCTGAGCCTGTGAACTGCAGGCAAGGCAGAAGACGTCTGCCAGCCGTCTGAAACGCCAGGAGCTGGGGATGGGGTTGAAGATGCCGGCTGCGCAGTTGCAGACAGAGGCTGAAGGCTTGAGGGAGGTGGACGAGGTGGACCTGCTGATGTGAGAGAGGTTTGGGAAGTTGGGCATGCGCAGCGTAGATTTTCAGAGAAAACGAGAGATTTTGGATTTTCTCTAGCTTCTAGAAAGTCAGATTTCCACCAAAGAGCCACAAGCAAGTGAATGAGTAAGGGGGGCTGAGGTCATTCTGAGCGGAGCAAACAAAACGTGCCCAGGGCGGATTTCTGAACGCGTTGCGTGGCCTTCTGGAGAAAATGAGAGAGTTTCTCCGAAAATTGGGATTTCCGCCAAAAAGCCAGGAGCAAGTGAAGTACAAGGTTTTACCAAAATGATCAAATATCTCAGGAAACACAGATTTTTCCAGTGTTCAGAGATTTTCCCTGAGGACAAAAGGCAGCCCGCAGAGCAACAAAAACAACGCGGCCTGAGCATGTCTTTTTGTGCTCCGCGTGCTCTGTTGTGCTCCCTGTGGGAAATCTGATAGAGCATGCGGAGCAAACATAGAAAATAGCATGCATGACAAACAAACAAAAACACTCTTATCATCATGGAGGTCATGTGTCAGCTACACAAACATACAGGATAGTGATACGCGCCCCAACGCGCTGCCGAACTATCTGAGCCTTGAATCCAATGGGCCTGGCGCAGTTCTTGGGATGCAGAGATGACCATGTGCCTTGCAAGCTGTGCGATCCAAGGAAGCAGGTCACTGCGGCATTCACCACGGTAGTGGAGACTCGCAACAGTCAGGCACAAGGGTTTCCCCCTGACAGACCGTTCAGAATAGACTCTTGCAATATGTGATTAGGCAATTTTCCAGATGCCGCTCCAGTGGCTTCGCAATCATATCTCGTAGCTATGCCTGCTGACTGGTATCTTCCAGCTAACGATGCCGGAGCTTGCTCCAGGTCACAAGCCTTCAGCGCTGCATTCACGGGCTCTCCTTGCCTCTTGTCGGATGTTTGCTTTGGACTTTGACACATCCTGGCCTTTTCAGGTGCCAGAGCCATCTGATCTTGAACATGCCAGAAAAAGTCATCGTGTTGTGGATGATGGAGGGTTCTCATTGAATTCCCTGTGGAGCAACTCAAGACTCCCCCCTCTTTCAGACGAGTTTCAGGTCAGTGACCTTTGAGGATGTGGGCTCGCTCATCGCATATGCCCTCCTCAGCGAGAAGGCCTTTGCTCCAGGGGTGCTGGGAGCCAGGTCGACTCTTCCCATATCGCATTATCGCGCTGAAGGATTTGTGAGCAGGGGCTGGCATTTCTCGGATCTTAGTTCTTCAACGAGAACAGGCAAGCGAGCAGATGAGCAAGCAGTGGAGCACGCTTTGGGGGAAGAGCTTTTGCCCCCTTGCGGATGGTAGCGTGCCTGGTCGAAACATAGCCGGTTGCTGGTGAACCATGTTTTTTCTTTTTTTAATAGCTTGGTGCCCTCAGTTGAGGATGCAGGCTTCAGCATGGGTCAGAAACAGAGGCAAAATCTATGAATCTGTATAGGGCTTGCGCGAGCTGCGCCTGCCAGTGAACTTCCAGTCCATTGCTTTAAGGAGTGCTGCTTTCGGTCTTATCCGAGCTGCCTTCCACGGCGTGTGCCCAGCAGAAGGCCAATCCTTTTGCCTGGCAGAAGCATCTTCGGACCACTTTGCAGGATGCTTGTGCAGGACACTTGCAAAGGATCTGCACTTGTCGTCAGATATGTTAGCACACCAACGCAGGCCATCGCCTTCCCGTGCCAGCAATGCGGAGGCGAGGGTCTGCGGCTCAAGGTATTGACGTGAGGACTTGTTCCATCTTCATGCCCCACAGTATGAGAGGAAATTGATGGACCTTGCAATTGTCGGTCACAGAACTGGTTGCTGCGCTGCGGCTGTCAGAGTCCCTTGCTGCCCTTGCTCTGAGGAGTTGCAAGATGTTGCAAGCTCGAAGTCTCTCAGTATGAAGTCTTGCAGGCCCCACGCCAGGCTGCTCCCGACTCTGCAATGGCTGCGCTGAAGGCGAAGGGCTGGAAAGGGCCACAGGACAGGCAGACTGCGTGAAGGTTTTTGCTCAATTTGCCTCCGTGAATGTTACTTCTCGCTCTGAAGGAGGGGCCGAATGCAGTGCGTTATGCCTGGGAGAAGGATGCTGGCTGTTGGCACGATTTCTGACAAGGGAGGGCGGGAAAAGAAATCAGGTACTCTTTTTCAGAGGCAGCTGCTTGTGAACCTTGAACCCCAAGAGTCCCAGTTGAACCAGCTTTGCTGCAGGAGATGGAGGATGCCGGACTTCGAAACATCCTCAACACCCCCGTTCTCAAAGAGCCCGTGAAGGCCCGCTGCCCTCTATTGGCACTTAGGCAGTGAGACTTTTGACGCTGCAGGTTTTGATCCATGCTGCTGAAATGTGGTACCTGTAAGACAGGTAGATTTCGAGGACAAACAGGCCAAGAAGCTCGGCTCACATTTGCATGGCATGGTTAAGTACCTGAGAGCCCAGGCCTTGCTCATTGCCGTGCTACTTGCTTTTTGCAAGTGCAACTGCACATCTCTGGTTACAGCAGAATAGGGATAGAGACTGTGTTTGTCCAGATTTGTCCAGTTTGGCTGCATCCCTGGCCTCAGGTATTCTGTATCTATCCACTTTGCCGCTCACTACCATGCACTGCGGCACTGGATCTGTGGCGACGATCTCAACTTCGCTCGATCTCTACAACACTGAGCCTTGGCATTTGACCCACGGCACGCGACGCCTCTGAAAGTGCTTGAGACCTGCGCATATGCTTTCAAATTTCCTGCAGGCAATCCAATCCAGACTTCTGGAGGGAAGTCTCGCGCAACCTTCCATATTTCGCACGACAAACGGTTTCTGCTCAAGGCGATCAACGAGGCAGAGCACAAGAAGCTGCAAAGCTGCTCGCTGGCACCGTGTTTTGATGCACGTTTGCTTTTTGACACAAGTTTTTTTTGAAGGGGGATATATGGTTTTCAAAGGTGAGGCCGAGAACCTCTTCTGGTACTTTGACAAGGCTGCAACCTTGGCTCAGAGCCTTTCGCGTGTGGTGCTTTCGCATGTCGCTCAAGACTACGACCCATCCTTCTTTCAGGTGCTTTTCGACAAGTGGCCCTCACTGCTGACCCAAGTGATCGGGCTCTTCACGGTGTCAGCAACAGCAACGAAGAAGTCACAGAAGTGGACGGGCTCTTGGACCGCAGTTGGCACAGGTTGAGCTGATCAAGTGCTGCAGTCTGCAGCTTCGTACGTCTTGCTCTTATTGCAAAACAACTTCAATCTTTTCCCTTGTTTGCAGCGGTTCCAGTAAGCCAACCTGAAGCCTGCAGAAGTCTGCAGATGTCTGCATTCTCAGCTTGCTTCCAACGAATTTGCCTGTGCCCTATGTTATCCCAGCTGTTGGCTGCCGGCACAGAAAGGCTACTACGTTGTGCAGCAGAACCTTCGATACAGCATCTTGGCCCATGTCGGGAGGTCAAGCTTATGCCGCCGGCTGCCTCGTACGAGATCTTGTAATATCTGCATTATATACACATACCTGTGTCCGTGCTCCCCCTGCAACATTTACTGAGCAGTGGCCCGATGGAAACCACCGGACATGCATTCATGCCAGATTACTTTGGTCCAATGCCACAGATGAGACATGCAGCAAGAGCACAGAAAGCATTTGAGCTGAACCAGCCGCCAGGCCTCCGTGGAACCTGGGCCTTCATCTTTGACCTCAAGGGTACAGGGAAAAACCGCCGCGTCCAAGCCACGGCCGGGTCCTTGTGTTGGAGTTTTGGTGTCACTTCTGTGTGGACGCATGGCTATAATTTGCACGGCAGGATCTCGGAGAAGAGACAGAAGCCGGGGAACTGCCAAGCGGCAGCGGCGCCTGGCCCCCAGAACAGAAGGAAGTGATCACCAGCATTTGTGAAAGGCGGGTGTTTTCGTGAAAGGACGAGCTTCGTGAAGCACTTGCTTGCTAAACCAGACTTGTACTAACTCTCACAGCGCAAGAAGCCCATGGGTGCCATTTCCCAGACCTGAATAAGCATTGACTGCAGGCTTGCTGCATCTTCTTGCCGATAAAGTTTACACCCACTCAGAGGCAGAGCGCAAGCGCGTCTTTGACACCCTGGCATGAGGCCGAGAGCAGCCAGCGAGACAAAGGAAAGGTGTTTTGGGACCAGCACCATGGCTTGCAGGGGAGTGTGGAAGCATTGGAAGCACAAATTTGATGTGAGGGTAGGGGCCCGTTACAGCAGGCAGGGCCGGGGCTATACCGGTATATGCTGGTATGCAAGATGCTTCAGCTGTCCGCAAGGAACTTCCGCGAGTGGACCAAAGGCAAGCCCCTCTGCCTGGTTCCTTCTGCCACTGGGCAGGCACTGGAGTTGGGCAGCAATTCCATCAAGATATCCACAGCCTTGGCTTGCTAAAGTCTGGAAGCCAGCCTTTAAGTTGTGGAGGCCAGCCAGGTCCATGGCCAGCTCATCAGTTTAGCTTAACGCATCTAGGTGGACTCTGGGAAGGGCTTCTCGATTGTAATTGCTCAACTGCAGTGGCTGCGGCTTCTCTGGCAATCCAGGATCTGGTTTATTTGGAAGCGGCCATCTTCAACGACACCATGCTGCTCTCCACCAGGGATCTCATGGACTGCTGCGCAGAAAGAAAGGGCCATGGTTAGGGGGCAGCGGCAACAAAATCGGACATTTAAGCGTTACATGGTGGTTTGTTCAAGGCTTTGCATGAATTTTCGCATGAGTTGAGGGGGGCCATAGACAGCATCATGGCTGCAGCCGTGCTTCAAGCAAGAAAAGTACTCAAGCCGCAGGACTATTCCCTACTGCTGGCAGCTGTGCCTCCAGAGCCAGGGGCCACTGCTGGGCGTTTGATTATGGGCTCCCAAGCAGCAACTGGAACGGGCCTTGCTGCAAGGACTCTCTGTTCTGACGTGTTCGCGCAGATTCTCACGTGAAGATTTAGATTGCGTTGATGTCTGCATTTCATTCGTGAAGTGCCCGTATCATCCCGTGTCCCTGCATTTTGGGTCTTGACCTTCGGAGGCAGCCTGACAAGGTCACGCCTTTTCGGGCTTACTTCGGTTTCCGAGCACCAAAATTAGAGATGAGGGAAGGCTTGAGCCGAATGAGCCGAGGCATGATCGACTACCTACGTGGCTACACCTTGGACAAGAAGGCTGGCCTGATGGACCGAACTCTGGGTTCCTGCATGGAGAGCTGCACCATTGCAGAGCTGCAGAGCTGCACTGCATTCTGGTTTTGAGGTTGAAAGTGCTGTGAAGACTGCACTGGCGCCGACGCCCGCAGATCAGCCCACGATTATTGCCCCCAAGGACCGCGCGCGACAGACATGCCGCGTCGCATTTATGTGAGCATGTCTCAGTTCAAAGGAAAGCAATCAGTATTCCCGCATTCCTGGCAGCTACAAGCAAGGCAATGAAGAGCCGCTGCCCCAGGAGTATGCCGCGCGCTTCATGAGGGCCATGAGCACCTACTTCGTGGCGGACTGCCCAGAGCAGCCTTAACCTTCAAGCTTCCAGACTTATGGGAGGCAGGCTTTCTGTCGATATTCCTTCATGCATTCAGAGAACCTTGAATCTTTCAGGATCCGCAGGGTTGGAATCGACAACGGAGAAGTTCAAGATCTCGATGCTCTGCGCCGCAGTGGTCCCGGAGTTGTACGAGGAACTTCCAAAGGAAGGTTCTCGGCATTGGGAGCAGACATCAAGCAGCTCGCTGCAAGCCGTACAGACATCCAGATGCTGGAGCCAGGGCCAGGGAAATTCTGCAGGACGCCCTCGGCCCTGTGATGTTGGAGATCTTGCTGCTGAATTGTGTTGGCGGTGGCGACTGTCGAGTGCCTGGATGCGGGCCATTAGCGTCTCACCCCAAACTCATGCCTGCAAGGGCACGAAAGGCCAAATCTGTCTGAAGTCTTGCTTGCCATCCTCGGATTACTTACCCTGCCAGCATTGCTAGCATGACAGGCGCATGCACTGCGCAAACAGGGCTCCACATTTTGACCAAGAATTCCTGTTGCAATTTAGCAGAATCGGCATCATTAAGCCAAGGACCCGGTGACATTTGCCAGACATTGTGGCAGAATGCCCTGGTACTTGGTGATGTGGAGTTCGAATCCCCAGCCCGAACATTAATATACCTCAGCATGTCCTCAACCCCGCAGTTGTAGGCACACTGGAAGGGGAACCTGGGTCTGAGAAGGGGACAAACGGCGAGTGCTTGGAAACTTTCGCTTAGCTGCCGCAGCTTCTGCTGCTCATGCAAGATTGCAAACTTGATGTGTCCACCACGAGCGTTCAACGATGTTTAGCGGCTCCAACATTGCAAGCCTGCAACCATCTGCAACTCCAGGTTTAGCCGCAGAAATATGAGCAGGAAGAATTGCTTGAGCTGTTGCTGCTGTTGCCATGTGGCCTGCGCCTTCTTTCCGAACTTTGCCGGCCGTGCAGCTTCTGCGCTCTCCGATCCAGCCGGTGCCAGAGCCAAGGCAGCCAAGGCAGCCATCCACAGTCTTTAACACGTGCTTTCTCTTCCCAAAGTTTTTTGAGAAAGTTGACAGGGCCTGGAGCTCCACAGCACATCGCCTTGCCCTGGCCGCACCTGCGGCTTTGGCACTGGCGGGGCAGAGTTCTTATTTGGGGTAGACATGGCTTCCGAATCCATTCTTGTGCTCTTCGGATGGGAGATGCGGGCAGGCGTCCCTTCAGCAGCACCGCGTTGCAGTGGCAGCGCAGACAGAAACGACTGTGGTGGCGCTCCAGGGTAAAGCACTGGCCTTGGAGCTCCAATGCTTGGTGTATATCCACCGCTGATGGTTTTCAGTACAGTGCGGAGGCTTTTGAACGCGCCTTTTTTGGAGTTGTCATATTGTTGGTGTTGGTCTTATAGAGTTGCTGAGAACAAACTGAATTGTGGCTTAATCGTCCTGCTGTCGCCCTGCATGCCTCCTAAACGTAAGCTTCCCTGTCGGCTTTCTCTTGAAGTCTATTGAGGCCGAAAGTGGACGCAACAGTCAGTGAATATGTGGATGCATTCGAGCTTGCAAGCCCAAGACCTTGAGATCTCCTGCATCCGATATCCATCGCTAAGACGCAAAGCTTCGGCCTGCGCCGTGCTGACGTGCTGCTTGAGCTCGATGGTGCCCTGCATGCCAGGCGCGATTTGGGGTTCGAGGGTGGGGTCACTGTAGAGAGTGGCTCCGCGCACCCTTGAAGAGCTGGCCACCTGCAGGTCGGATGAAGCGATAATCAGCCTGCTGGCAACTTGCGGGCGCCGCAAGTGGCTGGAGCCTTGACAGACCAGCCTGGTAGCGAATGAACGACCGATGTAAAATCATTTTCGTTTCCGGGAATGAATCTGTTAATGTTACAGGCTGCTTTCACCTTGATGCTGGAGCCTACGGGATGATTCAAGTTACAAGGTAGGGGTTGCCTCTAGCACTGTACCAGCTCTGGACAATGACCTCGTTGAATTGCCAGGCCAATTGCTCACAAGCTTCGATGAGTCTCCACAGACCAAGTGTTTTGACGCAGTTATAAACCAGAGGTAGTAGAGCACGCACTGTTCCTGGCCAGCGGGTATTACTGGGTCAAGCCCATGCACAGGATGAAATCGTTGCCATCCACGAGCGCCTACTGTCCTCAGAGCTTGAGCCACTGGGCCGAACCGCCAAGCTGTCCCTTTTTCCAGCCTGGTGCATGCCGTGGTCCTTCCTGAGGATTTCAGCTGCGGTCCTCAGTGGCTTTTGCAAAGCGGCTGCAAGGCAGCTGCTGCGTGGCAGGGAAAGTGATCCCGCTTGCATTTTCCTCCTATGAGATGCCTCACCTCTTGTTGCGCACTTTAGGAGTTGCTTGGCTTGGGGCGAAATAGGTGGGACGAGCAAGAACTTGCACCCAATCAGCTTGCTTCGGAGTGAGCGCTGAGTGCTGAGTGCTGAAGCAGGTGCCTGGGCTCGCAGCGGAACGCCCCAAAGGCGAAGTCTGCCAAGGCTGCTGGCGGGACCCGTGACAAATCCTTTAGGAGTCCCACGTGTGGGTCCTTCTTTCAAAGCTTGCTAGAGAACAACACAGACGCGAGGCGCGAGGTAGTCTGGCTCAGGGCTTGCATAGCCGTTCTTTTCTCGTTCTCGAGTTTGCTGTCCAGCTCTGCCCGCAGTAAAAGACGTCGTGCCTTGTGAGCGGGGGAGGAGCTTCTGTGTGACAGGTTGTTTGCAGGCATTGGCTTTCAGCTGGAGGGGTCAAAATGTGGACCTTGCCGCGCCGCAAAGTAAAACAGAATTGCCCACTTCGACACTCAACTCTTGACCTGAGCTCTGCTTCCAAATTCTGGTCACGAGGCGCTAGATGGAGCCCGCAGGCTCTGGCAAGCCTGGGCAGTGAATTGGGATGAAGGCAGATTCTCTGTCGCGAAGTTATGCCCGATAGGTGATGCTCGGGGCAAGGTAGACTGTTGGATCCCCAAATGCCTAGGCCCGAAGTTGCGGGTTGTTTCAGCCTTCGCCTGGACTTTCTGCATGCATTCTTATTGGTATCAGCATGGAAGCTTCACTTCGGGGCTTGCAGAAGCCACCGCGCCAACATGTTTCTGGCTGATACATACCTGACGTTTGAAGTCTGGCCTCTCTCCATGCCTGCTTCGCCGGTTGTGAGTTCGCATGGTTTTGCATGTTGGATGGCCCAAGTTCTCCCAGCGTTCAGGCGAAGGGTGTGCTGGCTTCGACGAAGCTCTGGCGGCGGGCCTCTTGCTCTCTGCTGCTTTACAGCAACTCCTGACTCTTGTCCCCAGGTGTGCGGTCATATCTTTACTCCCCTCGTATCTGTGCTTTGCTGTGCTCATCTCAAGGATGTTGTGCGGAGTTCAACCGCGCTGATATGGGCTGAAGAGATCTGGGAAAAGGCCACACACAGCTTGAATCCTGACTGCAATTGCAGCTTCACTGCAGTTCTCCTGCGTGAGGCGAAGCTGCGAGCAGTGCTTGGGCCGCAAACGGCTTGAGGGGCTCTGCAGCTTCACAGCTTGACAGCTCGGAGCTTTTTGCTTTTAAAAGATACATTGGCAACATTGGAAATATAGACTTGTTTCCATTTGGCTTAGGCTGAAAGGCTGCAAAGACTCACCAAAGAAGCTGCCAAATGGACCTATGCCGCAGGTACCGCGAACCGTGCCCCTCTACAACGCAATGCTGTGCATCCTTGAGGCACCTTGATGCTCTAGTCTCTACAGTAGTTGTCATGTCTCGATCCAACTACTAATTACTTACTTTGCCATGCAGATGCTACTTGAGACACAGCCTGATCACGCAATGGGCATGGAAGAAAAAACAAGGCGATCCAGTGCCATCGCAGAACTACGCCGTAGGAAATGAACACATGATGCATCCCTGAGGGGCACGGCAGATGGGATGCTGTGGACCACATGCTCATGCAGGCCTGGCTCACACATGCCAGCGTGTTCTTGTTCTCTTCTTGATTTCAGGACTGCTCTATGCCAAAATCAGTTTGAGGATGCCCATCGAGCCTGGTGGTGCCCAAAAGCAGTTGTTGACGTCAGGATATGATCGAAGACAGCCTGTCGCCCAATGCTGAGGTTGCTGTGGAAGCAAGTCCAAATTTCACATGTTGCAGGTCCACGAACAGAGCTTTGGTTAAGAGCCAGGTTAAGGGCCAAGCCCCTGTGATTCAACTTGAAGAGCTGGCATGTTGCCTTGTTGACGTGTCCTCCCCAAAAGGCCAGACTGCAGAGATGCGCCGGAGCCAAGGTTCTGGAAAGCCTTCTAGCGCGGGCCATCAAGGCGCGTTATTGCGAAGAGATACGTCGTTACAGTATGACGAGAACTGGCCTTACATAAGCGGCTTGCAAGCTTTGGACTCCATGGCTAAGCGGGAGCGCAGACGTGCGAAGAGTTTTGTTTTGATTTCTGGCTTGCAGGTTTTATCGAATCGCATTTCTTGGGTTAGGTTTTAGTGGGGGCAACAGCTACTGTAGCCCAATTTTTTTTCTTGGAGAAGGCTTGGCAACGTTGCGATCTTCTGTGGAACTTCCTGGTCTGCAGCCACCATGTCAAGCCAACTGTGTGGCCTGGACTCGACTTCAGTTCCTGTTGGAAGTCTGTGTGCTTTTGGAAGGAGTGCCCCCCCAAGAAAAAGCCTCATCAAGCACTTGACCATATTCAATGTTGCTGTAGATTCACTTGTCGAATCTAAATGCTCTCAACTTCTGCCATTGCTATGAAAAGGAGGCTTGCCAAAAATCGAGTCAAGTTGCAGTGAGACGTGCTGGATCCCTTCTAGAATCTCAAACGAAAGGTTTACGCCGGAGACGTGAACTTCCAGAGCATACGAGTTTGTACCCAGAGTTCACTTGACAACGTTGAAGCCCACGGCAAGGACCAGCTATGCTGCGCACGCGGAAGCACACTTGCTTGGCGGCCGCCCCTTGAACGCTGCCACGATTCTTCAGGAGTGGTGGGCCCACAGCCCTGCTTGACGCCGAACATAGTAAGCTACTTTGGAAGGTGAGGTATTTACATATTTGACTCAGGGGATTCAGTCTCATAGGTTGGAGCCCCTTTTCGGCACAAAATTCTACCGGGAGAGACATGAGAGGGTGTTCTGGGTACTTCTGGCCAGGCTCTGCATAGTAGCAACAGCCCAATGCGAGGCCATGCTTGATGCGGACGTGGGCCCGATGACTCCAAGCATTGCCGTCTCTTGAAGATTGCATGTTTTCACCGTGAGGAACTTCAGCATAGCCGGGATTGGAATTGAAGTGTGAGCATCCTGCATGCTACTCGCAAACATTGATCTCCGCGTGATTTGAACTGATCTCTTCTCACATCGGATGCCTCACGGCTGATAACCAAGGCTGGCTATTTGCAGACACTGCTCGTGATCTGCCACTCCGACCCAACACCTTCCAACATGGCGCGTTTGAAAGATGCTGCTTCAGCAAACCAGTTTTGTAAAGGTTGGTGGATTTCAATATGCTTCGGGTATCATGATCCAGGGGAAACGGAAGGCTTGCTGTTGTGCTGCGGCCATGCGGATGAGGTGTAAAGCTCTTCCAATTCCCCAAGAGTTGCTTCTTTCAAGCCTGAATGTGTCGAAAAATATCAGCTCAACAGCATGGGACCCGGCTGCTCGCTCCAGGAAGCGCTTGAGCTTACGGAAGGCCTTGACCGGGCAAAGCGGGATTCACGCTCCTCCAGCTTAGCCAGAGCTGTTACTACTTATTGCTCCCTTGGAGGCCTGGCTGCCAGAGGTCAAAAACTGGCCATTGAGCTGACAAAGTTGAAGCAGGCACCGCAGGGCCAACCGATGCTGCCCCTTGCTGCAGATCGCGACCGACCTGAAATGAAGCTCTTGATGGTATAAACCCTAGTCTGACGCCTTCAGGCTATGCGTTTGGCATGAACAAATTTTCCACGACTGCCTTCGTTGCAGGGGATTACATTCTCAGACTTGCCTGGCGGGGACAGGTGGCTGAGAAGATGGATGTCGACCCCTGTGCACTGCCATTCCGGCAAGCACTTTGCTCCAAATTGGTTCTGTTCAGCCGTAGCAGTAAACTACTATTGGCTAGACTATGCTTGTCCTGAACTATTCGGATTTGCTGGTAGAGGAACTGGAAGATGGGCAATCATGTCTAAAGTTGGCCATCAGCACTTCAGCCCTTGACACTGCATTTTTTGGATTTTGAGGTGCTGGTAACTCGCGCAGCAAAGCGCAGCGTCATGAAGCGCTGGCGCGACGCGCGTGGGGGAGGCTGTTATGTGCGCCAGTAAAAAGAGCACGCTGCCAGCAGGATTGTCGAG